AAAGCACCGAAATAAAGCACCGAAATGTGCGCTGCTTTTCGGTCTGGTTACTACCGTTTATGTCAGAACCGGTGCCATAATGGCACCGGATACCGGTACCCATCCCTATTCATGACTGATAGCAAATTAGCCCCCATTATAATTCACCTCGTTTGGAAGAAAACAATCTGAAGAGATGACAAAGAAAGTAGGTAGGTGAAACATATCTGTGTTCAAAACAACATTAGAGGTGTAACTTCCATCTCCCTCATGAATGCAATGTGCATGCTCTTCCTTTTTGTATGGCAATAGCAAACTGCATCCCCCTTTGGTGTTAATGCACATAACTGGGCATGTGCTGTCACTTCCATTTCAGCTGTCAGTTTTAGTGGTACGCAGTGCTGTAGGTAATCTTTTTTGTTGTTATTGTTATTTTCCAATGTGAAAAGATATTCACCACTTATAAAAACAAAACTGTAACAAGTTCCAGATAAATGTTTGGTTTTATGTGTTACTAAATAAATTTAGTATCAGGCACATTCTGCAGCTAATTTGGTTAATTGGGTTCAGGTCAGTAAGATGATTGGGTAATAAAAGAGCATCTTACAAAGACAGTGTTTCAGAAGAAACAAAGGTTAGCTAGACAACAAAAAAAGTGTCTACAAATTGAGGAACAGTTTCAGAATAATGCTCCACAATGTAATACTCTAAAGACTATCAACATGTCATCATCCACAGTAAATAATATTATAATTCATCAATCTGGAGAATCCTCTTTGTGAAAGGGACAAGGCTGAAAATCAGTATTGGAGCCTCATTATCATCAGGACCTCTGGTGGCACTGCACCAAAAGCATGCATTGTGGGGAATTAGGGTGGTAAATATAGTAAATATGATACATAAACCTCAATTTTTAAATAATGTTTAACCTCCTAAGACCTGAACTCTTCCAGAGCATGCATTTTTAAATTTCTCTTTGATATTTGGGCATATTGGGGCCCGATGAATGCAAAAACAAAGAATTGTATCAAATTGTCAGAATTTTGATAGAACAGTGGCAGTATAACGTCCTCGTAAGTGGATATCAGGCCCTTGTAGAGCAAAAGTTAATATTTTGGTCTAAATAACCCAAAATGTGATGTCCACATATGTGGACGCAGGGTCCAAGGGGGTTAACTCTATTTATTTATTATTTATTATTTATTTTGTATATATAAGATTCTTATATATTTTGTATATATAAGAATTATACACACACACACACACACATATATATATAAAAACACCCAGCACGCCCCTGCGGGCAGTTTATCCTCCAAGCTCGGGTCCTCTACCAGAGACCTGGGAGCTTGAGGGTCCTGCGCAGTATCTTAGCTGTTCCCAGGACTGCGCTCTTCTGGACAGAGATCTCCGATGTT